TTCATATACACAATCTAACATGTTGAGATGTTGGTTCCTCCTATATAAGAAATAAAGTAAGATTTCTATTAAAATATAATCGAATATAATTAAGTTATAAATAATTGCAATTGATTAAATTTATATCTTTCTTTTTTCTTCAAGACATACTTACTCTATTTTATTTTATTTAAAATAAATAGTACAATATAGGCCGGCCTTTAGGCTTATAGGCCCGGCCTTTTGAAAGGGAGCCTACGACCTTTTTATTAAACAGGTTTTTTTAAAGCCCGAGCTCGGCCTATTATACAAAATATACTAAGTCAGGTCTAGCCTGATGTAGGCCGAGCCGTAGGCCCCTGTACGCCGACCCGACCCAGTTTCACCCCTACCGACATATACATATACATATACATATACATATACATATACATATACACATACATATATATATATATATATATATATATATATATAGACACACATACACGAAAATCATTCTCTTATGCTGCTGGAAAAGAAAATCTCTCCTGCAAAAAAAAAAAAAAAAACTATGTACTAAGAATAGTGTAGTACATAGTTATAATATTGAAGTTATTTTTTTCTCTTTTTTCTCATATATTGTCGGCTGATGTGGCGAAGAGAAAAAAAATAATTTTACCATTATAATTATATATTACCCTTAGGGTGTGTTTGGTACAGGAGAAATTTTTTGGTGACCGGGAATCATGATTAATGAGAATTCAGTAGAAATTGAGTTTACTTGGAATCTTACGAAAGATGTGTTTGGTTCGCCAAAATATTACCGGGAATATTGGGTAAAAATTACTGATTCCATATTTGGTTTAAAACGAAATACTACTTGGAATATGAGGTTATTTTACAAAAATAACCCCAAACTATTTTTACTTTTATAATTGATAGATTGGGTCTAGATTTTTATGTGTATTGGGGTATTTTTGTCTCAAAATTTATTGTTGTGCTTTCCCTTTACTTGGTATTCTGATTGGTATTCTGAATTACCATATTATTTTTGGTAATCTGAATAGTGACTTTTCTTTATAAATCAAATTACCGGTAATCCTTGGATATCCGGGAATCGTAATTTATTCCTTCTACCAAACGTGGTAATTACATTTACCAAAGAAGGATTACCGGTAATCCTCTCCAAAAACTTGAACCAAACACCCCCTTAGTACATAATTTTATTTTATTTTGCAAGAGAATATTCTCTTATGCAATATGAGAAAAATGGAATTCATATATATATATATATATATATATATATATATATATATATATATATATAACATTTCTCAAGCAGCTTGAGATAAGTTTATATCCGGCTACCCCAAAATTACCTACGTTGTTTTATTTATTTATTTTCTTATATTAATTGATTCACCTTTGAATGGTTATAATTCTCTTTTTCTCTCTCTTCCTTTATCACCATTGATCCATCTTTGTATGATTATGATTTAATAGCCGGAGATAAAATTATCTCAAGCAGCTTGAGAAACGATAAGCCCATATATATAAACACCACAAGTTATTTTGAATTTAGTCATACTACCACTTTTTTTATGGGTAAAGTTTTGTAAATTTTTTCTCCAGTCAATGGAGATAAATAATTTCCAGTGATCCTCAAAACTACGTCGTTTTAAATTAATGAATGATATTTTTATAATGTTAGGGGAATTAATAAAGCGTGTATCGGTAAAATTTATATGATACAAAAATAAACAAAATTTCAAAAACACCCTTTATTAATTCAAAACGACGTAATTTTAGGGGTCATTGGATATAACTTATCTCCAGTGATTGGAGAAATACTTTACCTTTCTTTTACTGGGCAAAATATTTTTATATATAGATTTCAAAATATAAACATAAAAATAAGATTATAACTCTCTCTAATATAAATGTTATTATTGTAGGGAAAAATGTTTATGCAGTTACTGCAGATAAGTTATCTGCATTTTTTCCAAAATGACGTCGTTTTGGTATTGAAATCTTAAAAAATTATAAATACAAAGACTATTATAACCTGAAATAAATTAAAATTACAAAGATACTATGATTTCCTCCCCAAAACGATGTCGTATTGGGCTTACTGTAGATAACTTATCTGCAGTAACTGCAGAAAAAGCGAACCCATTATTGTAAATACATAGTATGCTTTGATGATAGAAAAAAAAAACAACAATAAAAAGAGTTGAGTTTTGTTAAGAGTAAAAAGTATCAACTATGTGTGAAGAATGGAAATACATGATAGAGCCACAAAAAGGTTAATGACATATAAAAATGACAAGAACATTAACGGACTTTGAAGATAATAAGGAATTAAGGGCAATAAGAAAAAATTAGAAGAGCCAAATAAATATCAAAGGCAACACACCACAAATAATCTTCAAGAAAAGTTAAATGTCATGAGTTATGGTAAAAGAAGAACAAATCCAACAAAATATCAAAAAATTGTTATATATAACAAGTCAAACATCAAAGTCAAGAGAGAAATCAAGATCCAAGTCTTTATGCATAGCTAAGTCCAATACCTTATTTAGAATGATCTTTCGGGACTTAAGAGCATGTTTGTAAGGGTGTGTAATTGATAGTATTACATGAACTAATGTAATCTACAAAACTGTATATTGAAGTTTTCATGAAAAATCCTTGGTTTGATCCCTGAAAAATAGATGAAAAAGGCTTTAACATATTTTGAACTCAAAGACGCTCATCTTTAGTCAAATTACATGGGTTTATAACGATGAAGTTTGATTACTTGAATTAATGCTATCGTATAACGTGCTTGTCTATACATATATATAGAGAAAACTATTCATCAAACTGCTTCAGATATATTTCTTTCCGGTTATTTAAAACTACATCGTTTTGTTTATTTTTTTTCTTATATTAATTGATTCACATTTAAATAGTTATGATTCTATTTTTCTCTCTCTTCCTTTATCACCATTGATCCATATTTATACGGTTATGATTTACTGGCCGGAGATAAAGTTATCTCAAGCATCTTGAGAAATGATAAGCCTATATATATATATGGGAAATGATCCATTTACAAAATTTTTTTACAATTTTTTACAAATTACACAATCTTCTCCCGGGAGAACATAGTGTAACTAGTGTTCTCCCGAGAGAATATAGTGTAGTTTGTAAGAGTTTGTAAACAAAAAAGTTTGTAAATATAACCTGCCCCCTATATATATATTAAAATATTTCTCAAGTCATTTGAGATAATTTTATCTCCGGCTACCCTAAAACTATGTCGTTTTATTTATTTATTTTTTTAAATTAATTGATTCACATTTGAATGATTATGATTCCTTTTTTTTTCTCTCTTCATTTATTACCATTGATCCATCTTGTACGGTTATGATTTGGTGGACTGAGATAAAGTTATCTCAAACGACTTGAGAAACGATAAACCGTACACACATATATATATATATATGTGTGGGTGTGTAACGATAAGCCATATATATATATATATGTGTGTGTGGATATAATTATTTGACTCCGGTGTCAAACTTAGATATTTGACATCAAATTTTAACTGTTGATTTTCGTCAATTTATGGTTATAATTTATTGAGAATTACTAACAAATTAATAAATTTGATCTAATAAATCATAACTATCAAATTGATGGTTTAGATTTGATATAATTTTTTTAATTTGATATCGATAGCAAAAGAGCTTGCCTATAGAGAGTGAGAAAAAAGATAAATATATATTAGAACAACAACAAAAAATCGTCTTGTTCCATAATTTCTTAAAACAAAATCCTTGAATTGCATTGGACAGAGATATGTCGGACAAGGAATTTAATTCTATTTTTGGTTAGAAAAGGGGTAAAAGAAATTTAACTTCCAGATATACAGATTCTTCGAAAGTATAGAAGGGCTTCCCATTTATTCAACAATTGTTAAGTTGCCTGATTGAATAGTCAACCGGATTTATTTATTTAATATTAGGGTTTGATGAGTGTAAGTCACTGTATATAAGTATTTGTACGGTCACTAAATTATAACCGTACAAAAGTGAATCAATGGTGATAAAAAAAGAGAGAGAAAAAAAATCATAATCATTCAAAGATAAATCAATAAATATAAAGAAATAAATAAACAAAACGACGTAGTTTAATACTGACTTGACCATTCAGTGATATAAAAAATTAAAAAATATTTCATAGTAAAGAGTTTAATTCTTATAACTGTTTGTTTATATACAAGTATGATGACAATATAATACTATAAATATATGCACACGCACCCCGTACAGTTTCGTTCGAACTTCGAAGTTATGAACTGTGCAATAAATAATGGTTCATGAACATAAAAGCAAAGCAAATTAAGGGCATACTACAGACTACAGAGTATAGAGGATTAAAGCAAAGAAAACTATCTTTAGCAAATAAGAAAAAAAAAAAAAAAAACTCAACAATGCACACTAGGCTTATCTCCTAAGCTACGCTTGCCTTTTTATGATATTTAAGTATTTCTTTTTTTCTCACAATGAGAGAAAGTCTTATCAACCACCCCCAACACGGAGCCATAGCCAGTTTCAACTGCGTCATCTCTCTCTCTCTCTCTCTCTCTCTCGTCCTCACCTCCGTACAACAATCATGTGAATCACACATCGCTGGTTTCTACTTTCTCCATGCCCAAAAATCTGCCGGTGCAATCATCTATCTCAATTCACTTTCACCACCATAATTAACTTTTGCTACCTCTTCCTTCAACTTCGAGCCTTTTTATGTTTTTTTTGGGTAAACACTTCGACCCTTTAATTCCATATCAACATAAACCAAATCAGACTTGTGTGGTCCTTCACATTCATTTCCAATCTCTTACTTTTTTAGGGTTTTAAGTTGTTAACCGTGTCGGGAATTCATAACAAAGTAGGGTTTTTCAAACCTTCCCATCTTCCTCATATTTTATATATACTACTACTTGCTGGTTGAAGCAAGTGTGAGAGTTTTTAGCTTTTTAATTTGAATTAATGGAGGAATATACTAATAATAATCACCTCAGCGAAAACACAGGTCCAAGTCCAAGTCCAAGGCCAAATTTCTTGTACTCTAGTGTTGTTGGTGGTGGTGGTTCCGGCGTAGGAAACCATCATCATAATCATCATCACCAGCATCATCATCAGGTTCCCATCAACACCTTTCATCTTCAATCAAGTGGTTCAGATCACTGCTTCCAATCCGATCAGGTTCCACACCCTGCTGTGAAAACCGAAGCCAGCACCTCGCAGCTTCACACTCCGATTTTCCACTATCCTTTAATGAGAGGAAACCTTCACACCACGATGCATCATCAGCAACAAGGAAGCCAAAGCTCTAGCGAAGTTGAAGCCATAAAAGCTAAAATCATTGCTCATCCTCAATACTCCAATCTCTTAGAAGCTTACATGGATTGCCATAAGGTCAGCAATTTATTACTGATTTAATTTTTCAGCATAACAATTTGAGAATAATGTTCCAAATCACCAAACATGTGGTTCAACTCGTGAGGAATTGTTTCAATTTAACGAGTGATCTTCGAGTCTTGAGTATGTTACTGTCTTAAAAATTTAATAGGAAAAACTTTGTTCCCTCGTGATCTTGTCTGGATCAACTGAATTAGTCGATTAATCAATAAATTAGTGACAAAACTAAAAAAATAATAATTTAAGAATGCCCCATTTTGCCATTTTATTTATATATATATACATATATAGCTCACACATTCCTCTCTCTCTCACACACTATTTGTAGGTAGGAGCTCCGCCGGAAGTGGTGGCGCGTCTGGTTGCGGCGAAGCAAGAATTTGAGGCACGGGGGCAGCGATCTTCAGTTAGCTCCAGGGAAACTTCCAAAGACCCAGAACTTGACCAATTCATGGTGGGGGATTTTGTTTTGTTTTCTTTTTTTATTATTTTTTTATTTTTGGTTTTTGATTTGATAATTGTCAATATTATATTATAGAATATAGATTCTTTGAGCTGAGACAGTGTTGGAACTTGAAATGGTTGGTGTTAATTAACAGGAAGCTTATTATGACATGCTTGTGAAGTATCGAGAGGAATTAACAAGGCCTATACAAGAGGCTATGGATTTCATGCGGAGGATAGAAACTCAACTAAACATGCTTTGCAATGGACCCGTTCGGGTTTTCTCAGGTAACCTCAAACTTTTTGTTACAGAAAATGTTATTTATTCTAATTAATTTCACTGAAAACGAACCAATTAATTCTGGATTATGCAATAATCAGCTATTTGGGTAATGTGTGGCGGGACACAAAATTTTGGACTTGGTTCTGCATTTCTTGAAATTCGTAAAGTCGAGTATTTCTATACCCTGAGCCAGGAAACTTTGACTAAAAAATTCACCGATTTTCAAATCATGGGAGGAATGGTACGGACCCAGATAGTGTAGATGAAGGGTCCCAGATAGTGTAGAATGTGCATCATATTTCATCAAGCACAGAACCCTAATCACTAGTCTATATATAAATATTTTTTTTATTAAAGAAGAATATTGTAATATCAATTTTTTCTTCCTTTTCTTTTAGATGAATTGACAAGTTTTATTATTATTTTTATATATATTCTATTAGAATTACTGTCCATTTTTCACGATTCTACATGAACCTTTATTTAATTTTTTGCTAAAACCCAAATTCACACGTTCGGTTCTCTATTCTCAACTTCTTTTTTCCAAGCTTCTGAGTTCTGACAAAATTATTCTTCTAGGGTTTCCTAGTTAATCCATTTTATATTTTGCAAACTGAAGCAAAGCCTATTATGAGTATTATGCTTTTCGTTGATTCATTGGCTTTTGTGGCATGACATTCTCACGAATAAATCTTTAATGCTACTATTACTATTGCAGCAAAGATTGAGCAGATTTCATTATGATTCTAGTTGTTGGTTCTCGTCCGTTTTACAACAAATCCCGTTTTAATCACATCTTTTTTTTTCTCTCTCCCTCCTTTTGTGTCTTTGAGTCGAAATAATAACTAAGAAACACCTTGGATGCCGTTCCAATCCCCCACAACCCAAGGATACTGTACGACAGTTAAGTTATTCAAATGTTTACTAAATGTATAATATGACAAGTCTCATTTTCTGTGTTTGTTTCTATTTACGAAGTTCCCTACTTGATATTTAATTAGTTACATGTAAATGCTTACGAATTTGCTCTATTAGTTTTTAATAACTTCATACATTAGTTACCACATATGGTCATATCTACCTGTGATTACTTTGTCAGATGGTAGTCTAGTTGGCGTTGAAACATATGGGAAAAAATTGGAATTTCTACACTAAGTGATAAATTAAAATTTCATGTGTTAATATTTAGTTGTTGTATTATATGAGCTTAAAATTTTATCATCATGTTATTCCAATGTGAATGACATGTTCTCTAAAGCAATAAATTTAATTCAAAAATTTAAATTATTAGGTGAAGGACTATTAATAATTTTTTATTATATTTTCCTAACATGTACTTTTACATAAAGCCTATTGGGTTTAAATGGTGAACATTGAATAAACCCATCTACGTTATATATATTCAATTCTTATTAATGTAAAACAACTAGTTTAATTCAAAAATTTAAACCGTTAGGTGAAAGAAATATTTAGTTTTATAATTATATTTATCTAGCAGGTTACTTGTTAATTTCCTGGTGATGACCTTGTACCAAATATGCTCAATGTGGCGAGAGTTTTTGCAGTCTTATGTAGCTTCTGTTTAACTTACAATTATGAGTGCCTATATTAAAATAGCAACTTAAGAATTTGTTCGTTGTCTTATATTGCTTAATTACATGATTGTTGATAAACATATGCACCTGCGTATAATATTCAATGAACTGGTCTTATGATTGCATGCAATTTACATGGATACTTGATCTCCTGAAAATTTTCCATGCTTGATGAGTATTTTAGTAAGGAAGTATATCTTGCAAAGTTTTAGCAGGGAAAAACTATCAGATAACTTTAAAGTACTGAATCAATGAGAAATTGTGACGTAATCATTTATTAAATTCCATAACTACTGTTTATTTGTTTTTCATATTGAAGGCTATATGAATATGGTAGTTTCTCTATATATAAATCTCAGTTCACTTGTTTCCAATCAAACCTGTGCACGGTATATGTTATGCTAGAATACCAATATTTGTGGAGTGTCGCTTGGATTAAAATATAACTTCAGACTTGCGGAAAATATTGAAATGAATTAAACTTATATCGGAAGGAAAAAGCAATGAATTAATTTAAATTTACTTCTACATTGCGTACACAAAAAATTAATAAAGACAAACAAAATAGAACAGAAATAGTTATCTCTTTCTTCCTCCGCTAAAGAATCTTTCCTTTGAAATATACCCTTGTATTTTTAGCCCTCTTTTAAATGGTTGAGTTCCTTATTCAATTTTCAAAATCGTTTTAGCACTATATTGTATGATCATTATTCTGAAGCAGCTAATAATGAATTATTGATTCCATACCGACAATGCGAAATACGTACCTTACATCTGTGCTTCGTCTCTTGGACGATTGGAAAGGCCTTAATTGAGTATTAACATTTGGGTTAAACAACCAATGGAATTACGTGAACGAATCTTCTCATGTGTTATTTAATATGATCATGTTAAGCCTAACAATTTATGGACAAATCTCAAACATTTTTTTTTTTGTTCATTTTCATGACCGTTGTTTTTGTCTATAAGTAGTTAAGATTCTCTCACATGACATGTATGATTATGTTAAATAATATATGAGAGGATTCATTTCCATGAAATTAGATATTGCTTCATTATGCAATAAAAGCTAAATGTGTTCTACCGTACGTCCTTTCTAATTTTACTTCTCTGTATCACCATTCGAATACTGTACATTGGTCATATGAAATCATATTTTTCATTATTCATCTACACTTAGTGTTTGCTCTTGCGAAATGTGCATTCCCCAGTTTATCATGAGCTTACTTAATTATTGTTGAGCAATTAGATGATAAATGTGAAGGCGTTGGTTCATCGGAAGAGGATCAAGACAATAGTGGTGGAGAAACAGAATTGCCCGAGATTGATCCCCGAGCAGAAGACCGTGAACTTAAAAACCACTTGTTGAGGAAGTATAGTGGTTACTTAAGTAGCCTTAAGCAAGAACTTTCCAAGAAAAAAAAGAAAGGAAAATTGCCTAAAGATGCTAGGCAAAAACTACTTAATTGGTGGGAATTACATTACAAATGGCCATATCCTTCGGTATGTTATAATGTGTCTCCCTCAATATATACCCTTTTCATCTCATCAATTTATCTATGATTTTTTTATTTATTTCTAAAATTAAATTATTCTTGGATAATGACTAGGAATCAGAGAAGGTGGCATTGGCTGAAGCAACCGGTTTGGACCAGAAGCAAATAAATAACTGGTTCATAAATCAAAGGAAGAGACACTGGAAACCATCTGAAGACATGCAATTTATGGTGATGGATGGCCTTCATCCGCAAAACGCAACTCTCTATATGGATGGTCACTACATGGCTGATGGTCACTATCGTCTAGGGCCATGATCACCTTATATAATATGTTATATAATTCAAGTTCAAGGTATGAGCTTCTCATTAACAATGAGACTATTCAAACAGAATCATAATCAGTGCTCTAGCTACTAGTTTCAATATAAAAAAAAATATCATGAAATTTACTTTCGTAAGATTGTGCAGCGTGAGTACTTGAGTAGTATGCTATAGTGATCTTGTTTTATTAATCAGTGACCTTTGCTTATATTTTCAGTATCAGTAGTACCCGGTAGTGGTAATTCATTAAAATGTTACATTGTTGGATTTTAATCTTAGTAGTATGCTATAGTGATCTTGTTTTTGTGGTGTGATTGGTGTACGCAGAAGAGGAAATTTGCCATTTGAAGTTTCTGTACCATATAATTAAAGTCTGTAAGGAGCTGCTAGCTATTAAGCTTTTAATGAAGTGTATATGACAAGAACATATTCATCGTGAAACTTGTGATGATTCAATGTTATGTTTCCATGTTGGTCTCTCATGTTCATGCATCATAGGTTTACGTACTCCTTAGTATTTGGATTTGTTACGAGGACTTTATATATCACTTTCACATAATAAAAGAGTTGCACATCACTCAGCTAATTGACATATATTAGAAATTCCAAATTGATCTCGTGAAGAAATTTGAAATTTAAACTTTCATGTCGTCGATATATCAAATTTTTTAAAGTATTAAAGCTTTTAACAGTTGTCTGAGTACTATCCTTGGCAATAATATATTGAAATTCAAAATAATTAACTATAAAATTTCAAAGCATGTTTGTTCTAAATTAAAAATAAAATAAAATAAAAAACTAGTTAAGTTACGTGAGTCAATTGGAAGATATCTGTGGGTCTATGAAGCACCGACACTTCAAAAACCCTGACGTGTCGTGTCCGACACTCCTCGACACTCCGACACTCCCCGACACTCCAACATGCATTATTGAAAATCAAAAAACGGTTCAAAGGTTAAATTGCGTTGAGTTTTTAGTTCCAACTGTTAGATTCGTTAGATTACGATTATCATTTTATTGAGTTGAATATAAATATTTGGAATATCTTATGTTTCTTTGTAAAATTTATGAATATTATAAGTTTAGATATATTTTTTTGTTAAATTATTGAATATTAAAGATAATATATATTACATAAATTAAATATATTATTTAATATCAAAACATGTCCTAACGTGTCGAAATTTAACATTTTTTAGAATTAACGTGTCAGTGTCGTGTCGTATCGTGTCACGTGTCGCGAGTCAGTGTCGGTGCTACATAGCTGTGGGTTATCCAAAAAAAAATAATGTAAGTTGTGTATAAATACATCTGATTTCTTACCTAAAACATTTCTTTACACGAGTATTTTGTAAATAATGCTTATTTTATTTTATGAGAAAAATTAATTTTTATTTAGATGAACAGGGATTGTAAAAGTTGTTGAAAATCGACAATCACACAAATCGCAAACGAAAAGAGAAAAGAGAGAGAATAGACACAGAGATTTACCCTGATTCACCCAATTTAGACAATGTCCAGTTTGTCTGTACTATATTTACCTCACCGCCACTCGTTACAAGTCACTCGATTTACAAGAAAAATATAAATAGGATTAGAAAATTCTAACAACAGCTATTCATGGGCTCAAGTTCAAACTACTAAGAAAATTACAATAAATCAGAGGCCTACAATAGTACTTAGCCTCTACGGGCCCCCTGGACCTCTGCCGGGGTGGCTCCTCGGACCCCTGCCCGCTCACCTGAGAGCGAGACCCTAGTTGTCTTTCTACTGACCCGACAACTAGGGCCTTCATCAGCATGCGAAGTATGAGCTATATCCAACAAAAGTCAAACTCTAAGTCATATGATTATAGAATTTTGGATATCACGACATGAACAATTATCCCAAAAATTCAAGTTTTTAGTGAAAGAAAATGAAAGATTTTATACCTAGCAACAGAAATGATTTTTTTTAAAACTTTTTTGTCAATAAACTTTATTTTGCTTACATGAACCGAATGGAGTATGGCAATATGCATAAGAAAAATTTACTAATCGCAAAGTATGAATGCAATTATATAATAAGCTTCTAGAATCAAAGATAATCGAATTGGAAATTGGATTCAACATATTTTTGAAGTTCAGGTTATTTCAACTCAACCTATATCATATAATATTTTAAAACTTTTTAAGTTAACGACTACTGATAAATAATAGAATTAATAAATTATAACCTAACCCATAGCATTTGTTTTCAGGTTATTTTAAAAATGTTCTTACGCTTTTGTATGTCAGACTAATTTCCAAAAATGTAACACCCCGTGTATAATCGGAATATTAACATTACATCGTATTAAGCGGTGCTTAATTAAAAATGCGGAATATTCTTTTTCTTTTCAATTATGACGTCATTATCAATTACCAACTTGATTACTTAATCAATTTCATAAAATATCGCCTGTATGTAAATTGTAATAAGACATCTACTGAAATACCTCAATATATAGATAAAGTGTGTATCTAAATCACGGCATTACATCAAGTAATCTGGACAATATCCTGATACATTATTACAACTCCAAAAGACTCAAGACATAATCAAGACATAATAGTACTATGTGTCATGGACAATCCCCATGCTCACTAAATGGACATAGTAAACAACAATCTCAACATAAAACTCCAAAATCATACTGAAGCTATAAGCATATAAACAACATGCAAATCCAGCATCCAATCATGGCAGCATAATATAACAGCAATCTAACTCAGCTCCGGCCTCCTGCCGCCTGAGGTCTCAACATTACCTGACCCTGAAATAAGCATTCCCCAAACGTGGGGTGAGATCTCTAAACTAGAAATCTCAGTAAGACAAGGGGTCCTCAAGGATCTTCCACCCCAAGCTCACTTACATGTGCAATATAAGTTCAAAAAGCATTTATATCATTATCAGTTCCAAAACTATGTAGTGCAACAGATATCTATGGCATGTGTGTAATCACTATCTACTGGCCAGAGAAATGTAGGAATACGTCTATTCCCTACATGTAGTACAAGGAACACCGCTTGCACCTCACCCACAGCCTCACCCTCTTGTATGTTCTACATACCCAGGCTTACCGTATAGGTGGAACACCTCCATGCATATCAACAAGGCACTAACATATAATAGCTCAACAGCATTTCCAAAACATCAAAAGTATGTAACACAGCATGCATATACCATATCCCCATGGGACATGGTGGAACCACAACATGGCTAAACCGAGGACACGAAAGCTTACCTCTAAGCTAGCTATCCAATGCCACAAGCTCAAAGTCCAATCACAGCAGATCACAATCTGATATAGACCAAATATAAATCAATAACATGTACCACATGCATACAAATTAAAGACAACGCCTTTTCATTACGCTTTATGTCTTAAGGCTTCTCACCAAGCCATAAGCCCTTAATCACTTGATTCTGATTTAGTTCATAAATTACAGAAGTTCAACTTCATCAATCTAGGGTCCACAAACCCCCAATAGCCTACTGTACACACAGCACAGCTACTGTTCTACGAAATCCCAGAATATCCGGATATATGTCGGGGGCATATCCGGATATCCATATCCAGATATCTCCAAGCCCATATCCAGATATCAATATCCGGATATTTCGCGACAGAATGCAGTTTCTGCATTTCGCGAGATATCGCTCCCAAGGTTCCATTTTATTAAAAAAGGAGTTGTAATTATTTCCCAAAAATTCTGATATTTTAATATGTTAAACTAGACATCACAAGCTTTCCAACGACATATCTTATGTCTCAATCGGAGTTGTATAGCTTCGGTTATGATTTTCGCAAAGTGACTGCTGCCAACTGAAATTCCAGCAACCAAGACGCGTCTTTAAACTAACACCGAGTTCAAACCGCTTATCCAATGGCTACCAAATGTTACAGGGTTGTAGCCCTATGTGTTAGCTTCACATAGGTCCAAACGGAACTCGATTTGGAGCTCTGTAGCTCAAGATATTGAATTTTTACCAAGACAGGTTCGTTGTTGTCCCGAAATTCGGATATCCATATCCGGATATCCATATCCATATCCGGATATGCATATCTGGATATGCATATCCGGATATTTCGCGACAGAATGCAGTTTTTTTGCATTTCGCGAAGATATCCAACAAAGGTGGTTCATTTCAAGCATACAGAAGCTTAAACATGCGATTTAAGGTGTGTTTAACATTACCCAACATTAAGTTATCAACTTTAATCTATTACATGCATCAAGGTTCCACTTTTAAGAATAAAAACTCAAGAACAAGGTTGGTACAACATACCCAAGCTTCAAACTGAGAACAAAGAGGCTCTTGGAGCTCACTTGACACTCCCAAGGTTCTGACTTTACCCAAGAACGAAAATGGCAACATAAGCTATGTCCTTTCTTCACAAAGAAGGCTTCTTGAAGCTTCACAAGCCAAGAACAAGTGCTCTCACCCAAAGGGACACCAACTCAGCCCCTCAACACCTCACCAACAACCTCTCCAACTCAGAAAGGAACACACACTTCCTTCACAAAGCTCACACACCCTCAACCAAGTGTTTAGATGGTGAAACAAAGAAGAAAAGGTGAAGACTTGGAGGTTTCTCATGCAAAGGTGACCAAGGAGAAGGGTGGCAGCAGCCAAGCTCTGAAAATGTCACGTAGGAGGCACCATTTCTGACCTAGAAATGTGTGCCATGGCCTTATATAGGCCCACTTAAGAATGAACGCGCAGTATTAACTTCAATTGCTACGCTTAGCATTTTAATCCCAAACTTTGGATTCTTAACCTACTCAATTTTACAAGAATTATCATATTTTTCTTATAATTTTCTGAGCACTTTTTCGGTACGCGCTTTTCAAAGCCAGTACCGGTTTTTAGCACCAGTTCTCATTATCTGGACTTGAAACTCGTTTTACAAGTCCGACATATCATTCTAGTAATTATCATATACTTATTATAATTTTCCGGGATACTTTTTTGGTACGCATTCATACCGACTAGCAGAACCGGTATCTGCACTTTTCTT